CATTTTGCATTTTTAGTACCATTTTGTCAATGAGCAGCTGCTTTTTGTTCCTCTTGATTTTTTTACAATTTCCTTTGTTTTCTACCAGATACAAACTGTTTTCCATCAGATGTTTGAATACTGAATTTGCCAGTATTCTTGTAAAAAGTTTGAACATTGTTGTTGTTGTTATTTCTTTTAGTCATTAAACATGAAACCATTGACTGGTGCTAATGGTTGATATGGATTGCTGTCAACCAGATACGATGTTTCAAAAAGCACAGTTTCTTGAAGTTCCACTGGTGTTATTGAGGGAAGCTACTATTTCTTGATGTGTTTTGTAAAATTTTTGAACATGGTACCAAGTGCTCCAATGACAATAGGTACCACTGTTACATGTTTGATCCATAATCCTGTTGTTGTTGTTGTTGTTGTTGTTGTTGTTTCTCTTGGGTCTTAGTACAAGTATTTATTAATAGCTAAATACATTTTAAAGTATGTTTGATACATACATTTTCCCATAACGTGATAACAATAACAATAATAATAATCATATAACAATTCATTTCATTTTCCAGAAGATAATTTCAGGATGGCATGAGGAATCTTAAGGGGGTAGGAAAGCAGCAAAAGTATGTGCAATGAATTAGATTTTATTCAAAAATCCAGGAATGGAGCTAAAGATTATGCATTCCATCTTACTTTGGCTTCCTATGCAATTGTCATATAATGGCTGAGTTTTAATTACTACAGTATAGCATTATTTGCTAATTTGTAATATTACCCTCTCTAAGTAATATCAACATCTAGTTTTACCTTAGTAAGTAAGGTAACATTAAACCACAACTAGAAAGTAAGACATCATGTAAAGGAATCACCTGAGTCACTTACATTTTACTTGTTATAAAATATTTATCTTCCCATTAATAATCAAAACTGAATGGAACCAAAATTTGTCAACTATAATGTATTTATACTTCCTAAATTAATGTACAATACTAAACCTAGGTTTGACATTAAGGAGAATTTTTTGAACATCACTTAGACATGGAAATACAGAGAAGTATACAAATCTAAATTTATCAGATTATTACTTCTATCCAGCTCAGAAATCATGTTGAAATATTAATTGGATGTCTATGTCACATTTTCACACTTTTACATTTGATAATAAAAGAAATTAGCCCTGCACATGGCAACCTGAATGAAATATAGGATAGGAATCTGATAAACAAATGGATCAATTCAAACATAGCAAACTTAAATAACAAACTCCAGCAGTTGCAATTGCCCTACAAGAGATAAAAGACTACTGATATTTACAACAAACCAGCACTTTCGTGCAGCTGTTGTTTTTTTTATAAAAAAAAAAGTTTGACTATCGAATCCAGGATTGGCCCCAATCTAACCACTGTCTCACAATGCTAAGTTCAAAGTTAAGTCATCCTCCCATTAAATTACACGCCAGACACAAGTCTCTGACCCTTGCCCTCTTGTCTGGCCTTTACTCACTTGGTTCTGCTATACCGGAACACACTTTCAAGAGGACAGAGTACTGTAATGCTCCTTTCAGATGCTACTGTAACTCCACTGTCTCCAAAATTCTTGCACTGAATTGAGCACATCTGCCACTTTGTTCAGAGGTTTTTATCCATATATAGTTACTATCAAAGGAAAAGATGAGTAGACTAGAATATTCTTCTGATTAAGGGCCACTGAATTCACTTAGATTATTGTCTGAGTAAATTGCATAGAATTACTGGGTTAGATCAAGAAAATGATTCAAGGAAAGGAATCCTACACCACTGTTGACATTTTAGTAAAATTGAACGCATTAACAAACATGATTACGTGAATTTGATTCTAACTGGCTTACAAACCATTCAAAAGTGACAATACTAAATTTTTACTGACAAAAATGTAGTTATTTAAAATCCATTCATAAAAGGAATGGCCTAGGCTGAATAGTAACAGGATGTAAAGGGTTATTTCAAAATCATGTATAAAATACTGTTTCCTTCTACCAGCCTATATATTTCCTACATGCAGACATAATACATCCTGCTATGTGGTCAACATGGGTACGTCATTCCATTGGTGGATCCCACTTGGAATAACATCTATGGATATAACATTTAATTGTAATGATTTTATAATTAATAATGATGGGTTATTTGTGATAGGAAAAAGATTCAATTTGAAAAAAGCTATGGTACTAGCTGATTTTGAACCCCTTTAATGATAGGTATATACATGAATTTATGAACAAACCAAATTTTGATGAAAAAGTTTAACAAGAAGAAAAGTTTGGAATGGCTAGAGAAAAAAAAATTTGGAGCAATACAATGTACTAAAAACACCCTCTCATTTCTCCTTTTGTCTGCTATGGTTAAATGGATGCATGCCAGATAACTTAGGCCTCTTGCTTACAAAATCCTGCTTTAACAGCATGTGAACAAAGCAGTATTTTCTATCCTGAAATGCCCTACAAAAATATTTTTTGAAAAAAACATTCTTTAGCATTTCAAGTCAGTTGCAATTAGTATGCAAAATTTTTTTTTATAAGGGGTCACTAACATCCCAGGGGTTTCTCAGCTTATTATTCACTCATTCAGCAACAACATGTCTTCCACACAATCCTGTTGTGTAAATAGACAACATTTGCACTGCTGAACCTGGCATCAAGGGGAAATGGAAAGGAAAGGTAGCAGCAATAAAATAAGCTGAAATTCAGCATAAACGATACAGGAATCATATAAAAAGTCAGTCTCCAGATAGAGTCAGAAAATAATGCATTTTTAATTTTAGACTGGGTGGATCAGACAGTGGTGGGATTCAAAAAAANCCGATTGAAAAAAATCACTGTTATCTAGTTTAAAATATTCAGCCAATGAAGGTGGTATCAAATTAAAACATTTAAATGAGAATCACAACATTTAAATATAATTTATTGGCTCTACTTATGGAATGATCTTAGAATAGGTAAATTTAGTAATTAATTAAAACTGGTAATTTAATTAAAGCTGACATACAATTACCTGGTTTCATTGGCAACTGATATCATTTTTAATGGCCATAGATAGTCTATTAAATGGACCATTTGAATGAAAAAAAATTAAAATGTGGTTTGGTGGATATAGGGTGAGGTCATTTTGTAGTATGAAATACAAAGAGAAATGAAAGAAATGACAGTTTCTTATCTATAATTAACTGGGATTGGAAGAGTAGCTTGGGGGAGGAGGGGAATGGCCACCTGTGTTATCAATTTTAGAATGTTCCTTCATTCTAAAATCAAAAATGCTCTACTTTTATATTTGCAAAACAAAGCAATTAGTACAAAAGAACTGTAAAAGAAATAAAGCCAAGCAGATTCTAGTTGAAAGTTACAGCTGTTTTCAAGGAAAAGTGAATAATCCCAGATATTTTCTAACCTTAATTCTGCCAAGTTCTCCTTGAATTTAAGCAGACTAAAACTGCAGTTCAACATGTATATAATGGTTTCTTTGTCTAGCTGTCACATGAATAGCATTGTTACCATTATTGTTACATAAGATTTAAAATGGAAAAGATGCTTTTCTTTAAATTACCAGCTTTCCAGAGTTGCAGAGCTGTTAAACTGATTAAGTAGTAAATAGTTTTCCTACCATCTGTTACATCAAAATTTAGAGGCATGAGTTACTTATTTTTAATTATATAATAGTCTTTTTATATCAATGTTCTGGTATCAGGATAATTTGCAAAGCATTAATATCACAGCATAATTTAATATCAGTGTGATATGTATCTAAAGGTTTCCTACAGAGCAGTTGTCCCTAAAGATCACTGAATTCTTCAGTGTGGTTCACAATCACCAGTTGCCTCACTGCTGAATGAAAGAATTCAACATATGTAAACCCCATCATGTTAGAAGACCAAATGACAATAAAAATGAGTACGGAGACTGAATTGCCTTCATCCTGTGATCTGCCTTACAGGATGTTGTTGAAAAAAGTCAAAACAAAAAGGGTAATCTTTATTTAGTTAAAATGTTTTTACTGGCTTTCAACCAATAGATCGAGATGTGTTTGCAGCTGACTGTGTGTGTGTGTGTGTGTGTGTGTGTNTACCTTTACCATGCTGGTCTTCCTTTAAGGACAAAAATGCATTAGTCATGAGGTCAATTCCACCTTAGTGAGGACTATTTTAACAAGTGGTACAGCTTGAAAAAGTCTGACTTAATGACTGGTAGTCATTTTCTCTTCTAGTTCTCTGATTCCTGAAAACTATATATCGAACAACTAGGCTATTGCCACATCAATCTGATAACCTTTCAGGTCTAAATATATAAAAATAACTTTTATCGGAAAGCCTGAAACCTGGGCATGGAATTTGGGCTTAAGTCTATTACCTGCCAATATTCTGTTATAATTTTGGAAGGAGATATTTCTAAAATGGAAGAGATCAAATTGTTTATTTATTTTTTCTGTGATTCAGATGTTCTCTCCATTTAATTTACTAAACAACATGCTATATAATAATAAAGCAATGTTAGTATTTAATAAATTGAAGACTGAATCAGACGTGGTGCATTCTACCCCTTTGGAAGTGATATCTCAAATGCGGAAGAATTATAGCACAACAGTGTTTTAATCTCCCTGCAAAGAAGAGCAACAGAACAGACAGCACAGAAGACTGACAGGAGCAGATGCAGACTTACCACTTGAACAGTTGGGTCCACCCCAGCCAGGCTCACACTGACAGGTGTTTGGAGCAATGCAACGGCCATGAATGCATTTATCAGTACAGTGAGCTGTCAAAGAAACAGGGAGAATGAAACAAATAATGAAAAATCAGAAAGAATAAAAACAATGAAGGAGCAGGTTGCAAAAAAGCAACAATGAATGCTGTTTTTCTGCAACCTATCCATTTCCAGTTTCCTCTCAAAATTAAGAGGCTAAGTTGTTCAATTCTTGTTTTCATTTGTACTCTAAATGTCATTATTCTTTCACCCATTTATATGCATTTATTTACTAATTGTCCTAGTTTGCTACAATTGAAACAAAAAGACAAAAAGAAAACAAAATAAAGAAAGTAATATTTTAACCCTGTAAATTCCAGTGATGAAAAACAAGAAACAGTGGTATTAAGTAATATTAGCATTTTGTATAGGAAGGTTTTATAAAATCTAAATTTCGTATTTAGTAAATATCATTCATATACAACTTTCTAATCAAGCACTGAATTCATAATCATTACTTTAAAGATGTTTCTAACATAAAAATGAATCCAAAGAAATGTCTCCTTTCATCTTTTCTTTATTTTATGTCTTGCTAAATTAATGTAAAACAGTGCCTTGGTAACTAAAAGAGAAACTTCTGGTCAATATCTTCAAACAGTCAATGTGAATAGCTTCCTGCCCCCTCCCTTTTCTATTTTTATCATTACCTCTTTTATTCTTTGATCATTTATCTGAAATAATATAAATATATATTAATAATGTTTCTTATGGGAATGTGAAACTGCAGTGGTATATTTTAGTCTTCCTGCCCTAAGAAGCATTTAAAAAGAGCACTGCTGCCGAGAGATAAATCATAGATTAGAAGCAATTAGACTATGGCTGGTTGCTTAACAACTGCTCCCAGTCCCAACAGCCTTGGAACAAATACTTTACAGCAAGGGTGGGGAACTGTGGCCCTTTTATGACTTGTGGACTTCAACTCCCAGAATTCCTGAGCCAGCATGGTCCATTAAGTCATAATGGGGCCATAGTTCCCCATCTTTGCCTTACAGTCTATAAGCACTCCAAACTATTGTAAAATGACATACCAGTTCCCCTGGTCACATGATTCCGTTTTAGGTACTTGAAAATCTGTTCACATTTACATCTGGTTGCCAAATGCCCTGCTATCATGTGATCACCATTTGCAATTTTCTTTATTAGCTTCCCCAGAAAGTCGATGGGGAACCCAGCAAAGAAGGTTGCAAGCAGAGGGATGTTGGATTTGAGGTCTGTTGCCCTAGTGTACCAAGGGATTTCTCCTTCCTTCCATACAGGAAGCATAAATCCTCCCATGCAGAAACAAGATCTCAAATCTGCAAAATGGCCAGCATTCTAAGCCTTCTAGAACTATGATGTTTGCTAGTGTTTTTTTGCCAGATTGGAGGTCCATTCCTCCAGCATGCCAAGAAATTTTTAAGGGAATGGACTTCCACTCTGACAAAATTGCTATCAAATTCTCTCATTCTTTGTTCACTTTTCTTAGTGGAGCAGAGAGAAGGTCCAGGCTCCTAGATGTTGTGGGAGGCTGAGACTCTCCTGCCATTCTGCTTAACAACCACAACTAGGAGAGACAGGATTGCGGTCATTGAACAAAGCAGTCATGTCTCATTTAACAGCTCCTTCATGCAATTATCGAGATTCTGGGCCCAAATGGAAAACTACCTCTATAAGGATATTTATGACGTGGTCACATTGAAAGAAAAAATTTTGAAAATAAAAAGATGTGCTTTTATTATAATTTCCCTACACATTTAAGAATAAATATAAAAATATAAATTAGAAGGATGTTAGTCATCTTTAAAGAGTAGTGTCTAAGAAAATATAACATGAGACCACTAATCTGCTGAATTTGAAGTTATAAAAAAAGTTCTAATTAGCCACTGTTGTCCAATAATACTTATCTGTCTCTCTCTTATTTCAGACAGATGCTTAATCTCTATAGATTAATAATAGTTGATACTGTGCAGAGTAAAAAATAAGCATATGGTGTTCTTTTCTGTTGTAAGATTTCTAGAGCTAGATTCTTAATTTAGGAAGCGGTTTTTGGTGGTATATTTTGTATTTTAGAAGCAAGAACTTATAAAATGGCTGCTGTGTAGGACACAGTTAATAGAAAATATCCATGAGATTGCTAACTAATCAAAAGAGGTATCAAAAATTGTTCTCACAGACCAATATCACTTAGAAAAGAATGTTTCATTACAAAACAAACTTGATGAGGTTTTAAAATTTAAAAGGGGAATACAAATGACAAACCAAAAGAGTAAAATGAATGTTTTTATAGGATTTGCAAAAGAGGCTTGTTAAAGTCTTGAAGAACTCTGTGAAAAAGGACAATGAAAAAAATAAGAGAAATCAAATCTTATGGCAATATTTGAATGAAATAAAGCTGAGAAATAAAAAGAAGAAATATAAGGATGGTTTAATTGATCAAAGTTAAAACAAGATATGGTGTTAATTCTGACAGTTTTTATGGACTTTCTGCTGACATCACAACTTAAAATATGTTGTTTTGGAGAATTGTTTATAGATAAGAGATGTGATATAGAATGAAATAATAAATGTTTGTAACCTTACTAGAGGTGAAGAATCACTACATTTGTTTATACTTGTATCACATCTAAATACATGTTTTTCTTTATTATATTCTTACTTTTCTCTTTCTTCTCTCTTTTTCTTTTCTTTTCACTTGCACTTTTTATTCCTTATTTCTATACGTTCTTCTTCAATTTTAATTAGTATTATATTTTACTATTATAATCTAAATATGTTCAAAAAAGGAGTTGACCTGTGGAATGACTTCAGGCCATGTGAAG